TAGAAGATAAGAGGAAGGTGACTGCAGAAGTAAGTGTTTTCTTTCTTTCTTGTGGCCTTGTGGGTATACGTGGTAACGCCTACCATGTTCTTATTTGAGGTTACTTTGATTGCACTTTTCCAACCATCTGATTGGAAGCACAATTCTTGTATTGATTTCATCATATTGTGTCTGGTCTCAATTCTATAGTATATAGTTCTACACATTTCCTATCTCTAAACTGTTATGGAATTTGTAAAAAGTAGTTATGAATGTTCTCATTTTGTCTATTTAAGTTTTAGGACAGGTGTTTATTATACATTGAGGATAACTGATTTTTTGACAGAGAAACATGTTACTGGCCTCTAGATACCTGGTTCAAATAATGTAAAATTGAAACACTCATTCTTGTGGTCCGTGGGAATCAACTTGTGCAATCCAGAGCTAAAGGAAAATTCTGCTGGCTTTCCTTTTTTGAAATGCTATTCTAAAATTGAGTTTTTTGCAATTAAATGATATGTAATCAGAACTTGGATTTGTTATTAATAACTTATTCTACTGGGTTAGTCACTTTCCATTTTCTAAGATATACCGTTAATTGGGTAGTTAAATTTTATGGCTGTTTTGTGGTTCCTGATATATAGTTTTCTTGATACGGCTTTCGCAGGAAGCACGTCTGTACGCAGAGGAAAACGGTCTTTTTTTCATGGAAACCTCTGCCAAAACTGCTACCAATGTCAATGATATTTTCTACGAAATAGGTATACTCCATTGTTTTGTTGCTTTGCATGTTTCCTTTTATTGGTCTCTTTGTTTTTCATATGTTTTTTTCAATGGCTTATGCCACAGTAGGTGAAACATTCTACTACTCACTACTCAGGCTTCTGAAATTTAACTGTGTAATTCAAATGTACAGGGTCAGTCTTGTCTTATAGGTTTCCTTTCTTGTTATCCTTGTGCTATGCAATACTCAGTTTTTGTGGGCATAGTCTTAAGGAATTGTCTGGACGGCAACATTAAGATATAAAAGATGTTTGTTGGCTTATGTTTACTAGTTGCAGTAGTTGCTAAAAAGCTCAGCAGTGTTCTTTCCTTTTTCTTTTCTTTGGGACTTTGGGTATTTTACTTGCACAAAAAAAAGCCTTAGGTTTAGCACATGAGACATATATGTGGATTTCTGACTGGAAAAATCACATGGTTGCAAATTGTTATAAGTACTAGCTTCTTGAGGCAAACAGGACTCCAATGGCTAAATGGTTCCAAAGCATAGTGTGAGAGCTACAATGCCAGTGCCATTTGATTTTCTATTTCTCAGCTCACTGTATGATAACCCTTTTTAATCCAACCATATTATAGGTCGGTTCTGTGTAATCTCATCTACGTTCGAACTGATCCGGGAGTGAATGAGAAGCTTGTCCTGGAATACATAAATGATTATTCGAACAGTAATTTAGCAAGGGAGAAGGGTCAAAATTGCCCCTCTACTATTGTTTATTGGTTGCTTGTGCCACCCGTTACACTTTTCAGCCATTCTCGTCCCTGCCGTTAACAAAGTTTGCAAAATTGCCCCTAACCCTAACGGATCTACACTGTGGCAGCTGACCCCCTCAATTTTCTCCATGTCAACTGCCAAGTCAGCAGGCCCCACCCAACCCCTCTAATATTCTGCATTTGAATTAAGGGTCAAAAGTAATCTGCAACATAATTAAGCTATTTTCTAGCAAGTCAACTTACACAAACGAGATCACACAAATCAAATCCAGATCCATCAAAATAAAAAGCAGAATCCAAAATAAAAAGCAAATATCTCTATTTTTCCAAATATAAACGCTATACATTCCACATACTTGTATTACTCTACGAACCAACCCGCCGGAGTCGCGTGTTGCTGCCGTGTAAGGATTTGGAAGCAGAAGGTGGCGATGGAGGTAAAAAATATTTCCGGTTCGTCGACTCATCTGCGCCCGGTCCAAATCGGGGTGATTCATAGCGGCGCCACTGTATTAGGCGGTGAAGTAGAAGATAGGTTGAAGAAGGAGGTAGAGGAAGATGAAGCAAGTGCTTGACGTTGCTAAGAACACCAATCCGTATAGAGTTCGAACTGCCATAGAAGAAGATTCTGGACTTTGATTAGAAAGAGATTTGAGATTTAGATCTGGAAAGTAGTGGTGGGGAAGGTCGATTTTAATAGTTTAATGTATTAATTTCAAACTAATTGGATCGTCTTAAGAGTTATATGGAGTCCAAAACTGGTAGTGTGTGGGACCTGCTGAAATCACCATTGAAGGAGCTGTAAGAGAGCTCGAAAACATAAGATGGGTATTTTGATTTGCTGAAGTTTGAGCTAAGTGTTTTGGAGTTTGTTGGGAATATTCATGTGGAGAAGTTGTGGACGATCTGAGTCTGTTTGGTTAAAATTTTTTGTTTGGATCGAAATATTTGAAGCAAAGATGAAGAAGCATTGAGGAAGAAGAGGAAGCAACCTTTTTGGGGATTTTTTTTTAATTTGCTGATTTAGTAAATAAGTGTAATAAATAAATATATTTTTAAATAGTGACATGGACTCTGACTTGGCAGCTAACATGGAGAAAATTGAGGGGATCAGCTGCCACGGTGTAGATCCGTTAGGGTTAGGGGTAATTTTACAAACTTTGTTAACGGCAGGGACAAGAATGAACAAAAAGTATAACGGGTGGCACAAGTAAATAATAAACAATAGTAGAGGAATATTTTTGACCCTTTTCCCATAGCAATCCTAGCAATCTAGCATGCATCTCTTATTGATTCAAACTTGAACTAATCCCAGCTGATGTTAACTACAATATGTAAATTTCCTAACAAATTTCATGCTACATGAATCGCATTGTGCAAATTCATTTATGTCCGTTACAAGCGTATGCTCTTGTCACATGAAGAAATCAATAAGATTTTGCAAAAGCAGTGTTTTGTATTGATTAATAGATGTCCCCTCAGCTTAGCTCCTCGCATAATTGGTGGTAAATCTTACTTCTTGCTCTGTGAACCTAAGTTATCCATGTTATAGGTAGCTCTTATAAATCCTGGGATGTTTTTGGTTAATGCCCTGATCACCTACTGCTTGAGAAATTGCAAATGGTCTTCACTAATTTGATCTATTTCACTGATGGATTGGTTATCTGCTAATTCAACCTAACAAAAGTTAAAGGTGCATACCTGAATACTTTGGTACCTGCACTTAAACGTTACTAACACATTGCACCCGGACATGTTTTTCAGAGCTTTAGCGTGCTTCAAACCAAGATGTCCAGTTTAGGCTAGCTTCAATGTCAGTCATTGAGTACACTCTAGATTTGGCATACAATTGGACCACATGACATTATTTAGGAATTCTCTTTTTGGGACAATGACTACATAATTGCGTCCATTTTTTCTTGTTTATGTTTTATATTTTGGTTGTTACTTCCTAGACTGTGCTTTTAGGAGGTGTCTCACTTCTATTTTGCATGTCAGAGAAGTTAAATTTCTCTTTAGTTACCTGCTGCCCTAACTTCTGAGTTGGAATCCTACAGCTAAACAGTTGCCTAGAGCTCAACCTGCACAAAATCCGGCAGGAATGGTACTAGTTGACAGACCAGCGCAAGGATCACAAGCTGCATCATGCTGTACTTAAGTATTATCATCTCTATCGCTTCATTCATTCCGTGAACATCATTTCCAGACGTTGCTTGCTTTTCATGCTGTGCTGGTACTGGGTTTGAAGTCAGGAAAATGGGAGCCGCGTTGTTTACTCTGAAATACTCAGTAGAATATGTAGACTATGTACTCTTTTGTTTGCTTAGTCTGTAAATAGTTGGAATTTCCTACGACCTCTTACCCCCAACTTATCATTGATAATTCAACGCTGTTACTCCCAAAAAACTATGTATAGTTAAGATTGGGGCAGCAGAACTAAAATGCATATTATGTATTGCGAGGCAGTGATTAGATAATAAGAAATTTAAAAAGATTCGTTTAAGGTCAAGATGATTGTAACTGAAATTAATCTACTTGATAGAAACCATTGTTTTAAAGGGGAAGCGTGCGGCAGAGCGTTTTACTTATTATGAGGCGAGGCGTAAGCCCGAGGCATGGGCGGTAAATTTGATAGATAGATAGATTTTAACTTCAAACCATCAATTTCAACTTCAGACTTGTAAATTTGAATTATTTTGTAAATAGGGGTCCCAAAAACGGCTACTTGTGCACTTTCCCAAGTTTAAGATGGGGGAATTGCATCTATGCCTGCTTTTTGGGTCACATTTTAACTTATAGCTGCTTTGCAAAAAAAATTGCAAGCGTATCCACTTTTCGCGTAAACTTCAGGCATACGAGCCTGAAGTAGCTAAGGCAATCACGCAAACTTCAGCATTCCAGTGGACGGGCCTGAAATTGTTTGTAATTGCTGAACTTAAGCATTCTACTAGCTGAAGTTTTGTTCTCTATTTGCTGAACTTCAGCATGTTTTAGCTGAAGTTTTTCGCGTAACTTCAGCTAGTAGAATGCTTAAGTTCAGCAATTACAAACAACTTCAGGCCTGAAGTAGCAAAGGCAATCACGCAAACTTCAGCATTCTAGTAGACGGGTCTGAAGTTAACCAAGTGTTGGCTGGAGTCTTTGTTTGTAATTGCTGAACTTAAGCATTCTAGTAGCTGAAGTTTTGTTCTCTATTTGCTGAACTTCAGCATGTTTTAGCTGAAGTTTTGTTCTATATCTGCTGAACTTCAGCATTTTTTAGCTGAAGCTTTGTTATGTTTGTGATGAATTTCATGGCTGAAGTTTATTTTGCATTTGCTGAACTTCAGTATTCTAGGAGTTGAAGTTTTTGTTTATATTTGCTGAACTTCAGCATTCTTAGAGATTAAATACAAGAACAGTGTAAGACAAAATAGAGTAACAAGATCTGGATTCTGGAAAGCAAGGGGGATTGACAAGCCTGTTTATTCTATTAACAAATCACAAAATCACGATTGCATCATTGACCTCAAAATGTTTAGTATATTATAGAGGAAGTGCTGGGAAAGGCACAAAAACAGATTGGATGATGCACGAGTTTCGCCTCCCACCAACTTGGAAGACTACTATCAAAAAAGGAAGAGGAAAGAAGCGCACAGGTAGCAGGAAGAAGGAAGCGCCTAAAGTTGTAAAAACTTGGGTATAGATTAAATAATTTTAAAAATATGGGTATAGGTTATGTCGCCCCCGTGCAATCTTACGTTTAAGATAGTATATTTTCTCCTTTTCAGAAAGCCCACCCATATTCCCTTATTGTCCTTTGGACTTTTAGGTCCATTACATACCTTCCTTCCAGCTGGACCTCTGTCGGGCGGAAAATAGCCCATAACTGAAACTAAAACAACAAAATTCATTGTCTGTTTCATTTCCTTCTAACATAAACATAATTTCCATAAATACCAAGAAAAGAAGTTCCAAAAAAAAAAAAAAAAGAAAGGAAATTCTCAAAGGTTGTGCAAAGACAAAGGAAAAGAGATGAGGATTTTTGGGAAGCACATATTTCCAAGACAAATTGTACTCTTCTCTTCTGGGTATGCAATTCTTGCTCTTTCTAATAGCCGTTTGGCCAAGATGCAAAAATTAGCTTATTTTGAGAAGTGCTTTTTTTCAAAAGTGCTTTTCTCAAAAGTACTTTTGGTGAGAAGCAGTTTGTGTTTGGCTAATTAGTTTGAAAAGTATTTCTGAGCAGCAATTAGTGTTTGACCAAACTTTAAAAAACTGCTTCTAAGTGTATTTTTCTCAAAAGTATTTCTCAAAAAAGTGCTTTTGGAGAGAAGCTACTTTTTTCTGCTTTTTCAAAACTGCTTCTGCTTCTCCTCAAAAGCACTTTTTTTCCTTCCAAAAGCTTGGCCAAACAACTCAATTTTTGGCCAAAAGTGCTTTGGGCAAAAAAAAGGCACTTTTGGCCAAAAAGAAGCTTGGCCAAACATGCTATAAATAATAATGATGTGTGTAAAACTATGATTCATTTGTTATTTGTGTTTGTTTTTGTGGAAAATGAAAAACAGGGTGTTGTTCTTGGCTTCAACAACATATGATGTGCACAGATCCATAAAGAACAACGAAACACCACCTTCTGAAGAGCAAATCCAAGCACTTGAAGATTACATAAACTCTGTTCGTCGTCCTTCTTAGACTATCGGTCCATATTATGCCACGTTTACTGTTATGTACTTATGGCCGGTCCATATTACGCCACGTATCTTGTTATTACCTAATTAATTTATGAAAAGGGATATTGTAATTTACATACGTATGCTCTTACGATTTTACTTGTGGTATCTGCGTTACTTATTTTACAATTTTGGTGTCAGCATTATTTATATTTTACTTTCTTTTTATAAAAGCAAACAGCTCACTTAATTAATTTTATCTGAAGTTGACAAATGGGATGATGTTGACCCAAATATTGAAGTGTTAATTTATTCACCGCGAAAAGATATGCATTGAGTCTAATAACCCGTTTGGCCAAGTTGCAAAAAGTAAAAATTGCACGGGCGGCCTATTTGGTCACCCCCATTTAACTTATACTTATTTTTAAAAACTTTTAATTTGTACCCACTTCTTAAATAACTTCAGCTCCCTTCTCCTCCTTTTTCTCCTCCTTCGATTAGGACCCTCTTTATATAGTAGAGGAATCCTATTGATGGTATCATTCTAAGTACAGAAGGAAATCTCATGATTGGCTAAATGTCCGGTCTTGACTTGATACGTACCGAGATTTCCGCCACGATCCTTGCCCGATCACGGATATCTCGTCTTTCTGTTATTCGACCTAGCAGGCTTCCTTCGATCTCTCTCGATCTCTTTCTCACTTCGGTCTCGATCACGGCTGGTCTCGATCTTGATCGGCCATTGATCCACGAGCTTACCAATCCACCTCCGTACTATGGTCCGATATAATCGAGGTCGAGCCTTAATCTGCAACCCCGATTTCGGTTAGTCATACAAAATTAGGCAAGCTCGATTTTGATCGTGTAGATAGTCCCCTCATTTTCTGGAGTGCAATAATAAGAAACGAATTGAGTTTTTGAAATTTTCCTCGGTTTATCATGACGTAATCATCGTGACGTAAGCAGCGGAGGTGACTGAAATATCTCGTCGGTACCGTTCTCTAGGCATTTAATGCCTGTCAGTCGATGGTCGGCCACCACCGGCACTGAATCGTCACCTTCAACCTATAAATACAACTTTCTTCATCTTTCAAACTTTACTTACAAATTTCTTCCCTCTAATTTCCAAAATCTTTGCCTTTTTCAGAGCTCTATATTTCAATTCTCTGAATTTCCTTACTTGTTTCATTGCAAAACACCAATATTTCAATCTCTATTCTCCCTTACTTGCAAAAATGGCCAAAATATCTACAACTGTTCCGCAGAAAGAAAGCGCTTCCTCGTCACGGCCGGCCGGCGAGCAACCGGCGGCTGATCCTCCCCTAAAGGACTACGTTCCTGGAAAGTGCGCCACTCCTGCCGATATTAAGGTGGAGAATACACCCTCGACGCCAGGTCGATGTGAACCGATGTCGAGGTACATATGTACGATCACAGAAGATCTCCTCGAGAAGGTGAAAGAGGAGTGCAACTGGGTAGGCAAAGATGTAGTAGTTCTTACCCCCGAGAAATCCATCCCAACTCATGTGGAGGGGTATCTGAGTGTCTACATTACCCCTTCACGATAGGTCCCTTAGACCCAATCATCTCACCTTTTGCAAGAGGTACGATGGCACTCTTGGCCAAATCCATCCATCGTTCTGGAGGATCGTGATCCCTCTCCGATTCTTTGCTTCTTATTTTCCTTCCTCATCTAAGCCTTTGTGTTGTAGCTGTGACCGTCGTCCCGGAGGTGATCCCCGATCTCGAGCACTGGGTCAGGGGCCTGGTGTCGCAGAGGTCGTACTCCGAGCGTGCCTGGATAGAAATATCTAAGGGCCAATGGGAGGCCCGTAACCATGGTAATTTTTTCTTCTTAGACCGGTTTCCATTCGGACTTTGTATTGTATTTTTTCGTCTTTTTACCCTTTGTAGGCCTAGGGAAGGATGTGGCAAGGAGGCCCCCCTCTGCTGAAGAAGAGGCGCTTTCCCTTCTCATGCTCCAAAACCGACCAAGGAGAAGAAGAGGAAAGGGGCTCCGAGTTCTCCGAGCTCTCCGGGCCCGAAAAAGAAAAAATTGGCGAGGAGACCCCGTAAACCCAAGGGGGTCATTCGCCTAACTATGGAGTCAATCAAATAGCTGAGGGACAAGTCTGAAGAGGACGAAAAAGAAGAGGATTCCGGGCTGGTGACCCGTGCGCGAACTGGCACCGAAACTCAAAAGACTATTGGGCTGGCGGGAGCTGAAACTACTTTGCCTCGTTTTGACGAAGCACCCGAGTAAGAAAAAGCAGAAGGCGCTTCATCTCGAGATGAGAAGGATACCGAGGAGGCGGTCGAGGCCGGTGTAGAAACCGTGCTTGATGCTTCCCGTGACGAAGACGGAGCCCCAAAAGATTCACTTGGGGCAATGGAGATTGGAGATGTCTCCTCGTTGCCTTCGTTCTCTGATACGACGATCAAGGACGCTCAAGCGCTGGAGACTTGCCATGGCGAAGAGGTCCATGAAACAGAAGACCTTTTCGGTGGCTATTTTGCCGAAGTGGAAGATGTCACCAGTCTGGATGACTTGGACGTTCCGAGGAAGAGCTCGAACGAGCTTTAAACTAACCAACCAATTACTGTCCCCTAGCGTTGATCCCGGGCGTAAGAGGCCTCTTATCATCTCGATCCGGAGGATGCTCAAGTTTTCTCTACACGTAGAGGTGGCTAGCCATCTCCGATGCTTGGTCACTGAAGAGGATCAAGCCAAGATGGATGCAGTGGAAGTTGGTTGCTTGTTTAATGAGGCCCAGCATGCTCTATATCGGGTAAGTTCAAGGGCCATTGCATTATCTCTTTATGACCTTGAATCTGTAGATATCTTTAACATTTTCTTCCTTTCTCGTAGGCTTCAGTGTTGCATCATGAGGCCTTTCTTCGAATCCGAGAGGAACGCAAGGTCGAGATCTAGGGCCTCACTGAGAAATGTGATACTTACAATCTTCTTAGTGAGAAGCTTCAAGTAGACTTGGTGGCGGCTCGAGATGAGCATGCTGAGATGGCCGAGCAGGTATTTAGAGTCCTTTATGATAGTGAGGACGATTTGGAGATAACAAATAACGATCCAATTCTACAGGTTCAACAGAGGCTCGAACATATCAAGGACCTTCAAAGGCAAATAGAAGAAGTACGATCCGAGGCTGAAAAGTTCAAGGGTTGTATGGATATCTTAGCCTCGAAAAAGGAGGCCGTCCAAGCAGAGCTGGATTTAGCGAAATCTCAACTTCGGGCCGCAAGGGAGAATGCCTTGGTTTAGGCAAAGAAGGTCGAGGAGCTCGAGTCCAATTTAGCCAGTTTGGCCAAAGAGCTCGAGGTTGCTAGATCTGAAGCGGCCGCGGCCAATACTAAGGACCAGGATACTGCGACCCAATACAAGGTCGATGCTGAAGCCACCCTTGATCACGCCAAGGGCATGGTGAATCATTCGAAGTGGCAGGCTCGAAGGGAGGCTCTCGAGGGGGTCCTTGCTCAAAGTTTTGATACATCTGCTGAACTCGAGATCGCCAAGGCTAAGGAAGCAAAGGCTCTGAAGCTAGCATTTCTCGAAGAGGATTCCGAGAATGTCAACGGATCTGGTGGAGAAGATTTCGAAGGCGAAGAAGCTTCCTCCAATAAGGACCGTGTTGCTTAGGCCTAGTAATTTTTGCTTTAGCTTTGAGGCCGATCGGCCTTTGTTAAGAATTTTTTGATCGGGCCATGTGACCCTTATAAAAAAACTTTGATATGTAAAAACTTTTTCCTTTCCATGGCTCCCGAGTCCGTTGTCCTTTTGTTATTTTATGCAAGTGTATTCAATGGTCCCAGATCGGACATTCGAACTCGACCTGAGGCGGTTTTCGATAAATCGGAGCCGAGTGAAATCATTTATTTGGACTCGGAACAAGGTAATCTTTGAGTTTGATGTCCGAGTGAGAGTGTTATCTCAAACTCGACTCAGGTGGCCCTTAGGCTCGAAAAACAGTCCCCGAGTGAGAATCTATTCGAACTCGAGTTGAAGTAGCCCTTAAGATTAGTAGTCGAGTAAGAGTGATATCTCGAACTCGAAGTGAGAGTAGCCCTTAGGCCTTTGTATTTGGCCGATCTGGCCTTTGTAGAACGATCATTTTAACATATATAAGGCTTTCTACCCTTTTCGATTTTTAAGAATTTTTTCCTTTGCTTTGTCATTCATGTTTGCAAAGGCTGTAATGCCTTAGCATGAAATAAGGAACTGTTCGAGAGTTCGAACAATTTTGTACTCTTAGAGTTTTTGAGGCTTGATATTATCGAAGCCTTTTATGATTTCACCTAAAGGTAGCCCTTTTAACCGGTTTATGAAAGAATTCGAAGGCTTGTTTTTTACGGAATTCGGACGTCTCCGAGCCGTGTTAATTTGGCTGTAGCCTCTTTAGTTTGGGATTTGCCCCTTGGGCTTATTTCCCATTTTACTTCGAGCTTGCCCGAAGTATCAGTCCCCGAGTGGGGTAGCCGTGGCCTATAAAGATCGAGAGTTGCCTAAAAGGTCTTATGATCTTCGAAGTTTTAATAATTCGAACTTGTTTATTTTTCGGATAGCAGTCCCCGATTGTGGGGGTAATTATTCGAACTCTGGTTATGATCGGCCCATAGTCCTGTTTACATAATAGATCGAGAGTATGAAATTGCAAAGTAGAAGAACTTTTCTAAGGCATGAGATATTGGCAAGGAAAAATACTTCTCTTTATAATTGATTATACATGCGTACATGTTCTGTACCAGGGCTCGAGCAAACTACGCGGGCACGGTTCGTTTGATTGTTTATCTCTTACAAATTTTCCTATCGAGATGCTGATGCCGTGAAGTAATTTCCTCGCAACAAAGTTAACATTCGAGGGTAATGTCCCCCAGTATTCGAGGTTGACTGTAAAGAAGCCTCGGATACTGTTGAATTGTTCTAAGCTAGCACGATCAATGGTTGCCTCATTAAAAACCTCGCGGGAAAACCAATTTGGGATAAAACCGGTCTAAGGAAAAAAGTGCAATGCGTGCTTTCAGACCTAAAGATTACGTGTCAAGGAGTCCATTGATGTTTCTGATCGAACACCTATAACAGTTAGTTTAAAATATAAATGAAAATGGAAGGGGTCGTACCTTAGCAGTAGTATCGTTTTAAGTGTGATATGTTCTAATTGTTTGGTAGTTG